ACAATTTAACTTAAAATTAATAAGTTAGTAAAATAATAATTTTTGGCCATCAGACCCCCTTCTTGAATCAGGCATGTATTTTTAAAAAAAAAATTTTTTTACTGTACAATTAAAAGCAGCCTTGCTGAGAAGAGACTTCTTTTAAAACATTAGAAAATATTACAGATCCTAATTTGAACACTACGTGTGAATTATAATAAATGTATTAAAACAGAGCTGTTGTAATGATTATTATCATTATTATTGTCTTTTTATTTAATTTTACAGAACAGCAGTAAAATTACAATACTAGCATTTATGAATGTTGATAAGAGTTCTTGCTTTTTCTCAGCTTTTATTTTGGCGGAAACCAAGCTTTCATCCTCTTCTCTCCATCTTCCAGGGACATTATGATAGACAACATGATAGATGGTCCAATCATAAATAATAGAAGTCAGGTTTTGCCGATTTATCGGTACCGATAACTGATTGCTAGAGCAGTCAGTTATCGGTAAAATCCATACCGATAGTTTACTCCTCGTGGAGTTAAAAAAACATCTGGTTCGTATTTGTATGAAATGGTAACACTTTACGATAAGAGTCCATTTCTAATGTAAACTAAAAGTTACGAAATGCTGTAGAAGTGTTATTCATCATTGTTAGTTTCAACATTTGCTAATACATTTTTACATTAAGTTGTATCTTTTAACAGTAGTTAATGGACTATGAACTAACATGAATGATCAAGGTACAATTAGCCTAATATATTAATGTTTAATATGAATATTTATTTAATTTAAAAAGTACAGTACATTTTCAGGGTTCTGTTCAGTTTTTAAAAAAATTTTTTTATTTGAAATAAAGTTCAGCATTATTTTACTTGGAGTATTAGGCCTATAGTTTTTGTTTTGTTTTCATCCGTTTTCAAAAATGTAGATTGATTGATCAGTTATCGGTCAGTGTGGTCCAATCCACTATCAGTCGACCTCTAGTAAATACAATTTTAATGTCATTCGACATAAGATATGTCATAAGACAACAACTTTTTCATTTTAAATGAAACCCTGCCTTTCATTTTAAAGAGCCAATCACCTTTTTTGTCAGTTTGTTACTTTTGAATGTGAGTGTTTATTTTTGAATGTATCATTTGAGCACATGAGACAGAGTTGCTACAATTGTTACATTTTATTCCTGATTTAAATGTAGCTGACAAAATTGACGTTTTTAGAAGGTTTGACTTTATAAAAGCCATGTCAAAAGTCAATCACTGGCCGGACGTGAATAAAAAGGACTTTAGTAATGCCTGCTCTTCACTAGTTTCATCTAGTTTATTCATGATTTTGTTGTTTTTTGTTTGTTCTCGTTGAAGAATCGTGTTTGGATGTTCGGTTTGGAATCGTTTGATCAAACGTGTCTGTCCTTCAAAGAGCCGCTCTTCCGTTCGGAGCGTCCCGATGCTCCTGTGGGCTTTTCCCTGTGAATGAGAGATCGCATTTACAAACACTGGATGCGGAGAGGAACTGGCCGTTGTTATAGCAACAGGCTGCAGGGCAAATCTGCCCACACACTCGTTTCTGTGAGTGTGTGTGTGTGAGAGAGAGTGTGTGAGAGAGTGTGTGTATGTGTGTGTGTGTGTGTGTGTGTGTGTCCTGCGTTACTACCACTATGGCAGCTTCATCACAAACGCTCTTCTGAATGGAGACGTGTTTCATCAGCATGCATTCACACGCTTCAGTAAATTCAGTACAAGGGTGAAAATCAGATAAATAATACTTTGCAATAAAAAATGAAGCTATTTTGTGGCATTGTGGCAGTTTTTTGATAAATTATGCCATTTGGTTGTGAAATTTGTTTCATTTGGAATTATTAGATTGTTGCATCCCTCTGTAGCGTGAATCTAACATGCATGTGTGTGTATTCTGTGATCTGGACATGCATGGTGTGAGTTCATGCTGGTTCTCTCGTGATCTGAAGGTAATGATGGTCATTTTCTGACTGTGATGATCGTGTGTTTCTGTGTTTCAGGGAAATCCTCTTTGACAATACAGTTTGTGGAAGGCCAGTTTGTCGACTCCTACGACCCCACGATTGAAAACAGTAAGTGAATCAGATCACGTCCTACTGTAAAATGAATCATAATCATCATAATGTAGGGTTGAGAGTTGACACTTGATCTGTGAAGTGATCAAAGGACCATAGATAACATGCATTTCTATTGTAGCTACTTATGACTAGTCTGCTCCGATTTGTAGACATTATGAATCAGTTCTGTGATTGTGACTCACTGAATCATTCGGATACTCATCATCTGACTCACTGAACTGCGAGTCATTCAGTCATATCTGATTCAACATGTGTAACATTTCAGATCTAAATAATTACTGACTAGTTGTTCATTTATAACTTGACATGTAGCTTAAGTTGAATGTCCATCGTGGAGTTTTGTTGTAGTAAATGTTGTGATTTAATATAGTTGAGATCAATTATGTGATGATGCTTCCTCACAAGTACTACATGAATAATGCAGTTGTTAAGAAAAACAGAATTAAGTGGAATCAGAATTGTCGAACTTAAAAATTAAGCATAAAATCACTATTAGCAGAAAATAGGAGTAAGTGGTAGTATTTTTGAATTATTAATTATTATTATTATTATTATTAATAGTAGTATTTTTTTTAAATGCTTTTAGGATGTAACTGCTGTTATCTTTTATTTATTTAGCTTTCATCATTAGGGACATTTGTCTTTATTTATTTATTTATCTCTGTAAATTTAAATCCACTGTACTGTCATTAGCTTATGATGGGATATTCTTAAAGGGGCGGGTCATAACGCAGCTGGAACAGACTGAGTCGACTCATGGGGGCGGGGCTTGAGTTAAGTGGGCGTGGCTTGAGGTGGATTTTTGATCTGGTGTCTTTTATTTCTTTTTTCAGCGTTTACGAAAATGATCACAGTGAACGGTCAGGAGTATCACCTGCAGCTGGTGGACACAGCAGGACAGGTGAGAAACACGTCACTGAGTTCATGTTTAAATGTTGTTTTTTAACAAAAAATACTTTACAGCAATATCAAACGTCCAATACCAGTGAAAATGCAGGATTCTGAAACGCATTTTAATGCAGAAATTAATTAGGCCATGAACCTTCGACACAGCTAGACACAGATGCAGTGTTGTTGTTTTTAACTAAAATTGTAAAAATTAAATCATTAAAAAAAATTTTTAGTTCATTGAAATAATGCTAATAATATTAGATGACAAACTTAAACTAAAAAAACAAACAACTGAAAATGTATCCAAAATAAAACAAGTTTAATTTGATGTACTAAAATTAATGAAACTTTTATAAGAATGAATTAAAAAGCTAGATAAAAATATTAAAATAAAAACATAATAAAATTATTAAAATTTAAACTAAAATTTAAAAAATTAAAAAATTAAAAATTGTTTGTTCATTGAAATAATGCTGAAATAAAATATAAATATTAGATGACAAACTTAAACTTAAAAAAAAACAATGAAAATTTAAAAAACAAATTTAATTTGATTAATTTGAACATAAACACAACATAATAAAATTCAAAAAATGTAAACTAAAATTAAAGTGGAAACTGAAAATGTAAAATCTAATTCAAAATGTTTATTAATACTAAATAATACTAAAATAACACTGCGCAGATGGCAAATGTTCTTCTAAAAACATCATGTCATGAATTCTTCGAATGGAATTTTGGTCTCATCTCTCTGAAGTGTGTTTTGAATTTCTCTCTTTCAGGACGAATACTCTATTTTCCCGCAGACGTACTCCATAGATATCAACGGCTACATTCTGGTGTATTCAGTCACCTCCAATAAAAGGTAAGAGATGCTGATGCTGGATCATTTCTCAGGGTTTCTCTGTAAAGCACAGTCGTCTTTGAGGCTGATAAATGACTGAAATCTGCTGCTGATGACTGCCAGAATATGGTTTATGAATAAAACATTGCATCAGATTGATTTCTCATTAGTTTGAGACATGACGTCTTATTTCTAGAAGATCTCAGCTCGCTCAAAGAGTTATTAAATAAGATCAGATCTGATGTTCTGGACATTAGTCGTGGTTTTGTTTCTGGTGAAGCACAGATGCATCAGTTTAGTTTTTGCACGAGCAGGTCTTTTATTGCTTTATGGATCATGCAATAAGCCACGAGATGTTTTACAGTGATTTTATCCTCTGATTAATCATCTCCCTCTTTTTTGCAGTTTTGAAGTAGTAAAAGTTATCCATGAAAAGTTGTTGGATATGGTGGGAAAAGTACAGTAAGTATATATATATATTTTTTCTTAATTTAGCTTTTGCAAAGTTCAGTTTTTTTTTTTTATTATTATTATTATTATTATTATGACTATTTTTTTATTTAGCTCTTTCAAAGTTCAGGGTTTTTTTTAACAATGTTTAATTTTATTTTTACTATATATTTCTGTATTTTTTATATATTTGTTTAATTTAGCATTTGCACAGATCATTTCAAAAGATAAAAATATATGCATTTTTTTGTTTAGCATTTGCAAAGGTTGTTTTTTAAATTTTTTATTTATTATTTATTAAATATAGCATTTGCAAAGTTCTTTGTTCTCCAAAGCAAAGTAATATTTAAAAACAAATATTGAATATTTTATTTATTTAAAAAAATATATTTAAAAATTTTAGCTTAGAGTTCAGTTTTTCTATTACTGAGACTGTAATTGTTTTGATAATTCAGGCTAGTTGCATATTACAGTTAACCCATTTTACTTCCACAATGTGATGCATTTCTAAAAAACAAACAAACATGATATTTAACAAGAAAAAAAATGCCAGGAGCATGCATTAAGAATATAAATGGGCTGTTTTGACTGTAATGATGAATAAATGATGCTTGCGTGTATTAAACTGTGAGTTCATGTCTGTATGTGTTACACATGTTCATCAGTAATGTCCTAATGCACTCTTTTCCTAGAGTACCCATAATGCTGGTGGGCAATAAGAAAGACCTTCACATGGAACGGTACGTGACGCCAGGCTGTTTCTGCATGAGTTTGATGAATGTGTATATATATATATATATATATATATTAAACTTCACATTCAGGATGAATATTTCAAACAGTAGCTGACTGACTGCGAATAAACAGGAAGTGATGTAGTGGTGCTGGATCTGAGGCAGTAGTGTTTCCTTCAGAACGAGAGCGTAATGTGAGCCTCGGAGATGAGTTCAGTTATTCCTGGACTGAAGCCTAATGATACA